AAACGGTAGCAATAAGAGTTCGTCGAGACCTTGGCGGTGGCGGACCGATCTAGCTGCCACGCAACCGTTCTGGGAGGACTGGTTCGTAGGTTTGAGCAAAAAGTTTCTCGAGGCGAAGGGAGGAAAGTTGTTGCTGCTGGCCGGGACGGATCGGTTGGATACCGAGTTGACGATTGGACAGATGCAAGGTTTGTTCTTTTCTTCATCCTGTCACAAGGCCCTTGTTGAACGTTACTGACTGGACGCGTTGTGACTAGGAAAATACGCGCTACAAGTGTTTCCCGAAGCAGGTCATTTTATTCATGAGGACCTACCGGAAAAGACGGCCAACGTGCTGGTGGACTTTTATCGGAGGAATGATCGGAGTAGTTTGGTCTTGCCGCCAAAGGTGTCGGAGCTGCTTGCGCAGGGGAAGAGAGTATAACTAAGGTACATACATGCATGCAGACATGGTATAGAACTTGGTCTTGGTCTTGCTGGCTTTACCTACGTACATACGTACATATCTAGCTGGTCGTTTGCTTCAGATAGACTGCTGAGCGGTGGTTTCATTGCATGGCATGGCATGGCATGGTATATACGTTGAAGAGGTGTGGCTCAGCCATATCCACGGGATGATGTAAATAGAACTGCCCCCTTGAAGCCAGAGGCAGCAGGGAGAGGAGCATTGACTAGGTATGAACCAAGAAGCACATGCAGATGCAATGTGCTATCCGCACATACCATCCACTGCGTCGATGGTATCGAAGAAATAGAGAACACCAAAACACGCATGGTTGATAATACTAGAAGATATTTAGTGGTCCATCACCCTATGCTATTAAGCCAAGCCGTTCAAACCCGTGGTTATCTATGTAGTATATCCGTAACCCCCTTTCCTCGCCAGACCCCAAGCTAACTCCAGCCCAATGAGAAAATGAATGAATGCAAACGAAAGAGGAAAAAAGGTACATAGCTAGGTATCTAGTAGTTAAGTGGCCGTCTTTTCTCTTCTCTTCTCTTCTTGATCCCAAAAACAAAGGGACACGCAGAGAGCGAGCGATTATATCCAGACATGGATGGGTTGGAGAACACCCTATTTCAACCTCCCTTCTTTCTCTTCCTCTTCTCCTCAAGCAATATATACCCCCGTCATACATATACCGGGGCTACTCCGCCCAAGCAACTTTCTGCTTAACATTCAGCGCCCAGCGCAACTTATCCAAGACCTCCCTCGCCTCACCAAGCAAGCGCTCCTGCTCCCGTTCCCTCCCGGCCGCTTCACTTTTGATCTCACGCAACGCGTTCTCCTGCTCGGCTTTATACCGCTCAAACTGGCCCGCGATATCATCCTTCTGCTGCCTAAGCTCGCGGATATTCTCGTTCTGCTGCTCGCACAGTTCCCTAAGCGTCCCAATCCTATCGTCGTCCTTTTTTCTCTCGACCAACAGATCCTCAATCTCCGTCCGCATCTTGGTCATCGACCTCTTCACTTCTTCTCCTTGGTCGCGCCAATGACTGCTGATGGCATTATACCTGCCTTCCATTAATGCAGCATGATTCGTCGCCTCCTCGACTTTGGTCTTGGCGTCCGATTTCGCCTTCTCCATTTCCTCTTTCCACGTGCGCTCGCGCTCGCCCGCCGTGACGGCTCGCCTCCGTTCCAGCTCGACGGTCGACTGCAGACTCTCAACTTGGCGCTCTTTGCGTGCCAGCAACGTTTTTGTGACATTCGCTTCGAGCAAGCGGCTCTCGTACTCCGACACGACACGCTCGAGTTTATCTTCCAATAACCTGGCCGCCTGCTTTGATTCTTCTGCGCGTAAGCGCTCGATCTGGATGTCTCTCTTCAAAGCCTCGTTGTCCGACACCAGCTTGTTGATCACGCGACCGGTTTTGCCGAGCCCGGCCTTTCCGACTGTCGAGTCCCATGCGCCATTACCGTTTGCGGTTCCGCCGTTCAGTGGGAGGTGTGTCTCGGTCGCGCTGTGAACAAGTCCGCCACCACCAAAACCACCACCGGGCGGGGGCTCGGTGGTGATATGTAATGATGATGTTGCTGTTGCTGCGCTTAAGCTGCTGTCTCTTTGGGGAATCTCAACGCTGGGTGACCTTGTAACTGTAGTACCTGAATTCATCCTGCTTGGGAGCTCGAGCATGGGCGATAGCCCATCCGAATACGCTGACATGCTGTGTTTTAACCTCCCGCCACCGCCTTTGGGTAATGTTCCGTTCTGTTGTGCTGCTGTGTAGTTTTGTGATAGAGACGACGACATGCTCGTGTTGCTGTTAACAGAGCTTGAGAACGCAGAATTCCGTGCCGTCGAGTGAGAATATGACATGGTTGTCCCGTCAGTGCTAGAGTCTTCCGAATTCCTAGGCCGGTTGTCGTCGAAGCTCATGACGGGACGGATTGTCGAGTTCATGCGGGTGGGTAATTGTGAAGAGGTCGTGGGCGTTGGCGGTAAGGCCTTGCCGGGGAGTCCGCCGGTCGTCGTTGTCCGGGACATGTTTGCAGCGTTTATGGCGCCCTCGGAGGCGAGTGTGAGGGTGGACCGCGGCGACTGCTGCTGCTGTGGACGGTATGGCCCGGCGGATAGCTTTGTCGGCGTCGTTGATTGCACGGCTGCTGCTGCTGCTAGTCTTGCGGCTTGCGCCGCTTTCGTTGTGGGGGAGACGGATGCACTGGCTATGTCTTTGATGGGATGGAAAGTTAGCACTTTATTCTGAGCCCGCACTTGTCCACCCATACTCTTTTCCTTTCAAGCTCCCGATCTGGAAGAAGAACAAAAGGATTAACGGCAGAGGAGGAGGCAATGGCGCCTCCTACAATCGCGAAGACAAGGCATCCCGGCTACGAAGCTCAGCTGCAAGCGTGCTACGCGTGGGTGGGCAATTGGAGTGCGGTTGAAGGAAAGGATACATACAGTTCTCGTCGTCTTGGTGTATCGAAAAGCCGGGCTTGTGGTTGTTGGAATGCGGTCGGGTTTTGACAAGTCGATTGCGCATTTCTCGCCGGGTAAGGATGTCGCGGGAAAGATTGAGTTCGGGTAGGTGGTTTCGATCAAAGACAACACTGTTGTCAGCTGGCGGGTTTTGCTGGCTGGCGCGCGTCTAGCAACAGTTTCACGTTTCGGATGATGCGCTTTTCGTGGAGCAGTCTGGGGAGACCCAAACAGATCGGCCCGCGGTGACGACGGTAATGCGTTTTCTTGGTCGCACAGAGGCGGCACTGGCAATTATTTACTGGGTGTACGGGCGTTGCGGTGCCTGTGCGATAAGATAGGGGATGTTGGTGGCCTCGGCAACGAGACTAACAGATGGACGCGATGATCACTTATTCAACTTTTTGAGTTTGGTGAACTTGCAGGGGGAGGAAGCAAAACACAACACAGAACACGTTCGTCGATGCAACTTGAGAAGGTTTGGCACACGCGCAGACACACGGTCTTCAAAGATGGTCGACGCGACTATTACAGGCCACAGACCATAGGACCCCCCGTGTGTTTGGTCCTCATGGGTAGGTGGGCGGGACGGAATTGCAGCCGACAGCCCTGGACGACTTGACGGCGATGCTGGGTCTGTTTGCAGGGATCCCACTGCTATAGCAACCGTTTATAACCCGTATCCCAGCCGGACATGCCGCGTTAAGTGGTGGAGGGGTCAAGGATGACGATATTTCAAAAAGAACTTCCTCCGTACCTTTCGACCATGCTCACAATTGTTCTCATTCATTCTCTCTTCCCAGAAGTTGCCCGGCAAAGCCAGCCGAACCAAGATCTGATACCAGGTGTTTTCACAGCAGGTGGGTGGTGGTGGAAACTCCTGCATGAATCCGCAACCACAGCTGAGCGCCGCCACCCAGCATTCTCTCTGTTATAGGACAGTGGGAAAATATCTGACTGTCAGAGTCACTTCTGGCATGGACAAAGAGCATTTTCGATTTGCTGAGACAGAGAGCCATCTTTCTCTTGTCCGTCTGCTCGAGGACGGGAGCTAAAATTTTGCGTGGAAGACGGCGAACCAGTCAGCGACCTCGACTCCCTTGGCAATAAAATAAGCTATCTTGGTACCTGAAGGTATAAAAGATCGTGATAATTCCAGGGAAGATGGGATGAATTCAGCAAAATCTTGAAAAAGAACCACTCGTTCCTGCAAGTTTAATCTCCGTCGCGCTCCGACCGTGGTTCTGGGAAAATTCTTTCAGGCGAAGGAGAACTTTAGAAAAAATCCCTGTTACTTGCTGTGATCTTTCCAGGAGTTTGGTGGTTGACTGACTTCGAAAAGGGGTTGCGCGGACAGAACCCCTAAATTCTGCAGAAACATTCACTGTCCTGAAACAAACTCGAGCGCCTTTCTGCAAAGCAGTCGTCTCTCTTCAACACCTCCTTCAACTCGATCTCGTGTCTCTCTTTTCTTCTTCCCCTATGATCAATCAGGCTGTCTGGCTCATTTGGCATCCCCGGCCAATGATTTCGACGACGCAATTTGCTGCTTAATGCCGCGCCTGGTGGTGTTCGCTAGCTGCCTGTAGAGTCAAATCTTAGTGTATAGGGCAAGAGAGATATATTTCTTTACCGCGTCGTCTCGTCTGACGCGAAATTCCTTTTACGCGTTACGTACGTATAGTTTCTCAGACTAACACCAAGCACTTCTAACATTGATTGGTATCCTATTATGGGATTGCTCGATCATAATTACTGGTATCAGGACGAAGGACCGCGCATGAGATGGATTTAGCACTGCATTTTCAGTCCCCAGCGGCTTAAGTTGGATTCCTCGAGTCTGCCGGGCACTGCCATTTTAGTCCCGAACGAGGTGTTCAGTGTCACAATCATTGGAGGTCATGCTCAGGAACACAGACTCATGTTCTCAGGAACACAGCACTGCTGTTTTAGCCCCTAGCGAGGGTCCAAGAAACGACGGGAGAGTTGAAAGAGTGACAAGCTTACAATCCACAAGCGAGCTGCAACTCTTTAGGCCTTACTTCCAGAAGTAATATACAATCACACAAAAGATAAGCCCGATTAGCTCAGCTGGTTAGAGCGTCGTACTAATAGAATCTCGGTTCTATCAAGTCCATGCGAAGGTCAACAGTTCAATCCTGTTATTGGGCACATCACTTTTTCCTTTTGTCTTTCTATCTTAACATATAATGGGCGTCCATCATCAGTTTTCTTTTTGCCCTTTCCATATATTAAATTTCTCAAGAAGCTTGTTATCTAGGCAGGCAGAAGTTCAGGTGCTAGCTTGGTAGCTTGTTCTCCACCTGCAAGCAACTCGAACTCTTTTCTTTTCAACCCATACGTACCCACCACACCACGACCCTCTCACTCGCATCCACCAAACCCATTCAGCAAAACTCCACAACAAGAGACACATACCCACGATCAATAACTCAAGAAAACAAAAGCGGGTTTAGCTCAGTTGGGAGAGCGTCAGACTGAAGTCCACTTCTGTTCGAATAATCTGAAGGTCATGTGTTCGATCCACATAAACCGCATTGTGATCCATCCATCCATCCTATCTAGATTCTCCTCATATGTTGAGTTGGGATTGGAGTTGATTGAACCTTTTTGATGAAATTACCCCCAATACCTTAGGTTGAGATGTATGTATGGGAAGATAGACAAGAGAGCCTTTGACGGCTTTTTTACTGGTGAAGTTCGACTGACTACTGCCCTGGTTATCTTCCACTGATCGTAGGGGGTGTTCTCGGGTTTAACTGCTGAGATATTAGAAGTGAAGACTTTTTTCGTCCCTGATGATCTTGGTCCTCGGACAGAGTAAGAAGCAGTCTGTTTGCTAATGCTGTTCGACGGTTTGAAATGGGCTATCTGTGATATTATCAGTCTATAAGCAGATCGAGTTAGGTTCCTTTCGCGTTCATCAAATGTATTTAAACAGATGGTATCTATCATTCATAGATGTTAGTGATAACGACCGTTATCACGTTTGCTTTTCTCCCTACCAACCTAAAAGGTAAATGATCAACGACGTTGAAGAAGTGTAAACGACAGTAGGGAGCACCTTGCTCACCGATACCTACATTACGGGCTCACTCCCTACCTATGCTATGCGTTGTTCATGATATATATTCATTCGCATTTCCCTCCCCCCTTGAATACCATTATCTTATCTCACTACCAGACCCGGGATCCGACTCTTTGAACCAAGAGAACGCTGTCTCCGTACCAAGCCAAGCAGGGTATATGTAATATATATGCAAATAACTCCAACCGTTCTATTTTGTGGTATCAAGTTCTAGCAACAGAAGGAACGATAAGGCGGCTGGACAGTTTAAACAGTAGCAGCAGCGGAAGCACCTACTATATCGTCTCCGCAACCGCCTGCGGTGAAGCCTTCACCACCAGGACACCATCAGTAGTCACCATCTCCCTAATAACCGTTGTTGTTGGACCAGGCGAGGGTGGCGCCTTCCTCTTCTTGTTTCCAGCATTCCCACCCACTCTAAGCGGTGATGGTGACCTCGCCTTCTTTTGCTGGTTCTGCTGCGCATTCTTAGCCACCTTGGGCGGCTTGACCGGCGGCGGCGGCTTAAACTCCCCTATCCTCAACATCTCATCCGTTTCCCTCGCCATCTTCCTCATCTCCTCGTCGTCTGACAATCCAAGGGCCTCCACCACGCCGGTATAACTCTTCTTTGGCGCAAGGGCTTTATATTCCGCGGCCTTGCCGGGCACCATCATGGTGAGCGTGTACTTGGTGTTACCAATCTTATTACGCACCTCCATGGCAAACCGCACGTATTTCGCAACGGCCTCCTGCCAGGGCGCCATCCCGCCATCCTCCTCGCGTCTAAAACAGCTGGAATTCTTTTCCGCGCACGTCGCAATCATCGCCCCGTCGACCCCAAATTCCGGCATCAGCTCCAACGCATGATCACGACCCTCAACATCACCATTCATAACACAGGCCACGCCCGCTTCGCGGCACACATCCGCAACCATCCTCAGCTGGCCCCGGATCGCCCTCTCGCGCGGCCGCATCGGCGTCGTCCGGCAGTGTACCGTGAGTCCAGTAATCCCCGTCGCGACCAGCCTGCGCACAAGCGCCTCCGTCTCGGCGGCGGTTTCCAGTAATCGGATCTTGACGCTCACCCCGATCCCAAAATTGGGTGGAATCTCCCTCACCAACGCCTCCAAAATCGCGGTAAGCTTGTCCGGCGTCTTGAGCAGCGCGGCGCCCATGCCGTCATGCGTAGAAAACGGTTTCGGACAGCCGGCGTTGACGTCGATGCCAGCGACGTCGGGCGCGATGATGCGTGCCGCCTGCACGGCCAGGTCCGGGTCACTCGTCCCGATCTGGAATATGAGTCTACCGGCCTCGCGGATTGGGTCAAGACGGTAGATGATGCTCTCGACGGGCTCGCAACCGGCTCTGACGTTGTGCTGCAGGTTGGAGTTGGACGGCATGCGGAAAAACTCGACCATTTTTGTATGAGGGTTGACACGCCGCGTGGTGCCGATCATTGAGCGGTCGACTGTTTCTGGGCCTTTTTATGAGAGTTAGCTTTCTTTGCTGTGATGTGTTTTTAGGAAAGGGTAAACTCACCCCAGACCAAATCGGCGCCATAGTGCAGCGCCAGCAGACGAGCCGGCAGCTCGCCGGAGCGGACCATGGGCGCCAGCACAACCTTGCCGCGGTAATCTACTCCGCGGGGAGGGATCGGAACTCTTTTGGTGGTCGCCGCGGTTGTGATGCCATTTCCGACATTACTGATGCTGCACGCCGCAGCCATGGCTGCTGTTGCTGTTGTTGCTGCAACCTCTTCCGAAGTCGTCATGATGGCGGCGTGAAATAGGCGACTAGTAGGAGAAAACCATCGCATTCTCGCCACAAGGCGAGGCGACACCGAACCGGTAAGGGCAAAGCGTGGAAGCGAGCGAGGCGACCAGATGTCGACAATACGCGAGTTTGGGAGGTGGAGGGACTGGGCTGGATGTAAGAAATTCACAGATCGACAAAATCGCGTTTGATTTGTTGCCCGGCGCGGCGCACCGCGTCCGCACTGCAACCGGTGCAGGCGGGAAGGGTGGGCCGGTAATACTATATCCTAACCCTTATCTGAGCAGCTCCAAGATCAACTTCAAGATCAACTTCAAGTTCAGTGGAAGTTAAGGATCAACTTCACTGAAGTTGACGGAAGTTGAATAATCACTGTTGAATTAGTGCTGTATCTACGGTAGGTATCAAAGTGCAACCCGGCATGATCTTTATTCTTCTGTACAGTACCAATATATCCGTGCGCTTGAGGAACCGGTAAATATCTCACTACGTGCAAGGTAACCCGTACACCTACCAATTCCCATGCCACTCCGGTATATTACCTAGGACAGAACGACAACAAAGTTGTTAGGTAACACCATCAGTACACATTAGCATATAGGAAAACACGTGGGGTTCCGTTTAAGAAGCTCCATCTTAGCGGCTGTCAAGCAACAGATCAACCTCCCTTCATCAAAAGGATAATTAATACACACTTACGGACCGCACAATATGCCCGATACCGAAAGTCAAGCGTGCTATCCGCGATCGACACTTCGCCACCTTAAGCTTGGCACTTTTCTTTTCAGGGTCCTGTCTTTCCTTGGGTATCCGTTCAAATCCTGGTTAAACATCCATACTTCTGTGGAGTTTTTAAACTTTTTAATCCTAGACACATGAGAGAGAATGTCATGTGTCGTTGATCTTTGATCTTCCATGTAAGAGGCCTCTCGGTTTGGTCAGTCGAAACGCCTACTAAAATAGCGTTGTAACAGACATGATTGACCATTGATACAGATGTCGCGCTCCATTTTGGGATGTTGAGAGAAAGAACAGAAAACGGATAGAAGTGGGATGGAAAGTCTTGGCTAAAGTCTCGAACATTTACATAGGGGTTTCATCCTTTGCAATACGGGAAACCCGTCCGTTTGCCTGCCCGGTTCCGAGCCAGAGAGGGGCATGAACAAGAGCCGAGGTGGTGGGAAAATCAGTCAGGAACCGGCAACGGATCTGCAAAATCCTTCCCATCAGCTCGCAGAGGAATAGAAAAGTTGATCGCCCCCCCAGCATAACGAGCCCACTCAACCCCGGATTTGAACGTCTATCAATTCGTGTTTTACACGTAGTGTATAGATTGTATGAATACTAGGTAGTCACTGACGGTTTGAGAATACCAGAGCCACCTATTGTGGTAGAAACAATCCAGTTGGGACTGGAGATATTGCTGAGGAGGACAGTGAAAAATATCAAGGAGTCTTGGCTTCCGCCCAGTACATCCTTAGGACAAAGATGGATTTGATGATGGTTCGTCTCAAAGCCCCAAGGTCCTTGGAAATTTCGTCATTATTCACACGTGTCCTGCCCGTCATATCCCGGGTTATTGTCGCTATCGTCAATGTGTTCGTAAATTAGAGGTGTCGTTGAAGTCGTATGGTTGGTTTCCCCCCTTTTTCGAAGGATGCAACCCTAACAGCCCATGACGTAGGTGGCGCGGTCCCGCTGGCAAGCCACCAGCTGGCGCTTCTTTGTCGGATGGACAAAACGCAAAAACCATTATGATGGTGAGTTTGACGTCGAAAAGGGGCAACGAGAGGGAAAGCAAAGAAAAAAGGGGGGAAATTCACACCTAATTCGCATGGATAGCTGGAGGAGCAGGCCGGGCAGTGAAGAAGTGGCGATTGCTTCCCCCAAGCCTTCGATGCCACAGATCACTTCTCACCGGCGTTCCAGGTTTCAATGGTGGCTCATGCTTTTGCCCAAATCTCCCAGTTCCAGGCTAGGGAAGAAATGTAGCAGACCACGGGAGAATCGTGATGGACGGAGTGAGTGTGGCAATTGGTCAGACTGGACCCGATTGCAGCTTTCCAGCTGTCAGCTTCCTGGCACTGTGCTGGTCGGTCGGCCACGAGTCTACGTGTAGGCAGCCCCGGCCTGGGCTGCCGCACACCATCTCACAGCTGTCCAACTCACCCTCGATAACATTGGCCCGGTTGACGACGAGCTGCTGCGTTATAGTACACTTGGCTCTGTTTTGTTCCGAGTCAATTGATATCAAACGCTGCGGGGAAGCGGTGTGGTGTCCGTTGTTTGCAACCTGCATTTCCTTGTC